GTGTCTATTGACCAGTAACCTGTTAGTCCTACCACGAGTTTTGTCACATCTTTCTTGGCTCTACACAGTAGGGTTTTCCTTTTCGATATTAGCATGGGTGCCCATTGGTCAATAGCCTGTTAGTCCTGCCACGAGTTTTGTCACACTTTTCTTGGCTCTACACAGTAGGGTTTTCGTTCTTGATAAATTTTAGTTTGGCCATCTTAATTTAAGTGTCTCGCAGCCCATTGTAGTTTACTATTTGTGTTTAGTTATTCTGAGACCATGATGGTGGGTATTTTCTGGAGCATCTTTTAATGAGATCAGTATAAGAGGATAACGTACTTAATTCATACTTACTACATACGCTCTTTCTCTGCGATTGGTTTATGTTTCCATAGAACACTAAAAGTATAATTACGAAATCAGCTGTTGATGCTGTTGAATTGTTGATGCAACAGAATACCCTCAAATCTCGTATGGTTTTACAGTGCTACCAACTTAAAAATATTAATATTCAATTTATAAGTTGTATATTCCGTGAACTTTTTTCAACAGAATGTATACCTATGATCAATTAAGTTGTGTAAAAATCAATTAGCTTAGTTTATACAGGGAGAGAGTTGTGTTTGTAATTTGAGCTGTCAATTGTTGTTGCTTTCAATGCAAAATAAACATTTTTGACAGATAAAATTACAAACAAAACTCTTGTGTGAATCCAGTATTATGTATTCTAATAGTTTTACATTATATCAATAAGATAATGAGATTTTGTTACTGTTCTCATTTAAATACATTTTTAAATGAAAATAAAATTTTTATTGTGTAGTAAATTTTATTGTCAACAAAAACTACTTGAAAAACTGTTCTTAAATATTTTTATGAGTAGAATAATTTAAAGCAGTTCGTTAACAATAAAAATGTATAAGACATTAAAATAATTTCTTTATAATTTATGAAGGCAATAAAATGTAAGTTCATAGATACAACCGTAGAACATTGCCACTTTCTTAGTGTGAACACACAAATATTTGCTCATCTTTCGTGTCCTGGCAGGATTTGTTTTTATTGCATTAAAGGAAAAACTCTTCGAAAATCTTGTGAAAATAATTAGCGCTATAATTGATATAAATGGTATAATAAAATTGAAATATGTTATGGTACATAGTAAAACGCAAGAAGCGGTTAAGATTAAAAATCATTTTTGCAATACCATAGAGAAATGAAAAGGATATTTATACTTTTAAGGATATAAGCCAACCAACAGAAATGGTTCGCTGCTTTTTATTACAACAAATTAAATGTCAAAGATGATGTCACTTCAGCAAAAAGTTTACCAAAAAGGACACTGAAATCTTAAAATAATATTAATGAATCATGATTTCCTTGAGGATATGACCATCTATTATTAAACTGTTTTGCATAAATTTTAGAAGACTAACTCAATATAATATAAATATAAATTGACAGCGGATAAAAAAATTTAATTAACCCAATCTTCATTTGAACATTATTGATGTTATTTTGAATAATTGAAATAAGAATAAATGAATATTTATGAACATGAGACTATTAATACTACAGAAGTAAGGATGAGTGAAAAGTAAAATTAACTTAAAAAAATATTGAAATTAAATGTCTTATAACACAGAGAAACCGTGCATTCTACATAATCCGTACTGCAAAAGTTATGGAAACCTATAGGAAAAAAAAAGCATTAAACCCTTTATCTATGAATGCTGTCCAGAATAAATAGGTTTTTAGGGAAACATTTCTTGAACAGCTTATCAAACTATTCAACGGCCAAGATGAGAGACCTATTAAATTAAAATTATCTAAACTCGACAGGATGGATTTAGTTTCTATTCTTCTGTCTTAAGGAATATGGTGGAAAAATGGCGAAGAACCGATAATTAAAGATACGTGGAAATTTCTCTGGTTCTCGCAATTGCAACCAAGTAACCAAATGTCTTATATGATTGGTGATATTAGTTTATTAGCTGATGACTGAATGATTTATTTTTATATGATATATTATTATAATTATGTCTTAACCTTTTTAAGGTCTATCTAACAGTCTAACAAAGAACTGGAAACAACTTTAGTTAATTTTCTACTAATTGAAAAATTAAAAAATCGGAAATATACCTTTTATTTTAAGTGAAAAATGTTAGGATATATAGATATATAAATAAGAAGAGAAGAATTGTGTGTTATAAAAAATACCCGTAGCAGCTCATCGTACAAGAAAACGTCTCTCACTTAGGTTATTTATGTGTTCTAATTGCAATACAACAATTCTGGACAGAAATTTTCTTGTTTCTTCTTTGGATAAATGCTACTATAATAGTCATTAAAAGGAGCTCTTAGCCCGTCAGCAAGTCTGATTATATTAGTTGGAAGAACGAATCATATCGTTGGTGTGGATTGCCATATATACTCTTTAAGCTACCATTTTAAAATATTGTGTTACAGAAACTTATACCAGATCATTAGGTTGCCCCAGTGTGTATCTATGACATTCTGTCATTGTCTCAATGTTATATCATTTGTAACCGGTTACTGGTCATGGAATAATCAGGCATACATAGAAATTTTAATTCTATACATGCATATTCTATTATAATTAACGTTCCTTGCAAACTCTCTCTGGAAGAATATGAAAAGTTCGTAAGCTTACGTCTGTTATGCAGGTGTCTAGCCTTGAAAAGGAGCAGCGCTACAATTTTTAGAAAATAGTTTTATTTTATCAAAAAAAGCTAATTGGTTAATATAATATAGGAAGTTCTAGGATTAGTAATAAGCGTATCATAAAAACCTGTGGAAAAGCAAATGACTGGAAGAAGGGGCATGCTGAGAGAATAGCCAAAGCGTTCAACACAAAGTCCGTCTCAGACTCATTCTTAAGTATAACCTGACATATAGCATAAGCATGAGCTGACGATTTCAAATTTATTAAAAGTTAATCACAGTTATGAATAGCGTATTTAAGTTAGGAAAACGTTTATTATTGTAAAGTTTATTTTTATAGACTGGGGTTATAAATAATTGATTAGACCACGTTATATAAGATAGTAATCGCAATATCAAATTTATATTTGAGGTTTATTTGTCTTTATTTAAAAATAATGAAATTTTTTTTTATTAAAAAATAATATTATTTAATATTTTCTTCTATTACAAATATTTTTTAATATTTTCTTTTATTAAAAAATTAGTTTTTGTTTTTTTTCTTTTAAGTTTTAAATGTGCATAATAAATTAACTAAACTCATTTTCCTTTTCCCATAATGAATTTTTTGTTTACAAGTTATAATCTTATAATCCCATATCTGTAATTTTAATGAAATTTATTTTTTAGACTACCAGCTTTAAAGGATTCTAATTTTTTTATAAAACATAAAATACTCTTTACATAAAATTGAATTAAATCTGCGGTTACGAAAAACACATTTTTATGGTCTTAGTTTTCTCATATTCGTATCTGAACTTGTTGCTGGTTTTAAATTCTCGTTTGAATGCCAACTATAAAATACTTGAAGTATATTTTTCATAATGTTTAGCTTTAATATCACACATTTGTATTCATTCTATTCATTGATGGCAACGTAAGTGAAGTAAGCTTTGTAAGGACAGGATTATGGAGGATATTTCACATGGCAACGAATTACATGTTCTTTAAAGCCAGCAGGGACAAGAACTAAATTGATCTGTTTATTTTAGTTCAGTACATTTTTTATGAAATAAATTTAAATATTATTATTCAGAATGTCATATGTATAAATAAGAAGAGCCTAGCATTAAGAATATCTTTTTATGATTTAGTATTGTAGACATATATCAGCAGCAGCTTATATTTAAGAATAACACGAGCACATGTAGGCAAAATTATCAATATTTTATTTCTGTTTAACCATCACTGTAATACTAAATACAAAAATATATATAAATATTCAATCTTAAATATTGAATTTAAAATGTATATTTTTTTTTGGACATATATTAACTAAAATATAAATTCAAGTTCCGAATATAGGACACAATAAACAAATAAATTTAACTTTCCTATTAAGAGATTTGCATAGAACCCTTTTTTCCTTATGTTGTCCCAAGATACATCACTTTACATAAACGAAGGATGTGCACACATATCCATCACCTTCAGCTGCTGTTCATTCAGCTCGTTTTATGTAAATGCATCATATTGGCTCGTATGAGGACACTTTGTAGAAGCACACACTTCATCTTAATAAAAAATATCAATTTAGTGAATTTACTTCCGCTGGTAACTTACTATATTGGATTCTTATACATTTCTAGTCATATTTTTCTGTTGATGGATCTCACTTCTCATCGCCAAATATAAAAGGCAATATAAAAAAATTTAATATAAAATTTGGTGTGTGACGGTTTTTATGAAATATTTTATGAAATATTGCATTGGGAAGCTAAAATTGAAACAATTTTACGAACCAATTTAATATTTTTTTCAACTCAATTTATCACATTAAACATTGAAAGATAAGTTGAAAGGTAACTATTAGGTATGGCCTGATTTGTAAAGATTTAAACAGAACTTGAATAATTAGTTTAGTTTAGTTTGAATATGTAAATTATGGATGGTCAATTAGCACCTCTTCTTTATTTTATAGGTAGAGGCTAACACGTAAGCTTTTTGTTGTCATTTAGTGACATATTTAATGCTGATAGACCTCTAAGTCCTATCTATTATAAACTAATGAAATGATACACAAAGGAACGTACTTATAGGTATACCATTTTGGTATACATTCTCATACCAGAAAGTAATCATTGTACAATGATCAAATTTGTCATTCTAAAAAATTCCAAATGGCGTTCCGCAAACTTATTGAACAGTTTGTAATAAAATACATTTTTTCAAACATTGTATTTTGTCAGAGAACGAATACATATGTTAGATAAAAAAAATATTGTCTGTTTTTCACTTATCTTCCTTAGTAAGGTATAAGTTTCATTTAGAGCATATAAAGTTTTACTTACCCAACATACGTATCACAGCTCTACGTGATTGTTGATGCCTCGATTCCCTATGCATGGAACCTTGTTGAACACCTAATACAAAAATAATATAGAATACATTAATATTATAATAATAAATAATAAAAATTTTTTATATGTATATTAAGCATGAAAAATTTTAAACCAAAAAAAAGCTTGAATACTCACCCAATTGTTGAGTAGTTCTTGATCGGATTTGCGCGCCCATTCTGCCATAGAGTATTATAATGAGTATCATCGGTATAACAAAAAAGACACAAAATGAAATCTCGAAAAAAGGAAAGTCAAAAGGTCTAATTGCACAAAAAGCTGAATCTGCTATAGTTGAGTTATCTGAAGAACATAGAAAAAAAATAAAACCAAATACAAAATATTTAATTAATGATATTTTCTGCTTATGCGGGATATGCATATTTGTGAACTTACCCAAAGGATAGTTCATATATTGTATATCAGTCAGTAGACCAAAAGGTATAGCACTAATAAAACTAACAGTCCATAAAATAGTAATAATACGCAGAGCACGTTTAAAACCACTCATCGCGTAGAGATGCAATGGATGACAAATTGCGAGAAAACGTTCTGTAGAAAATGCCACAATAGTCAACACAGAAACATACGTTGAACTGAAAACATATATATATATATTTAATTGTAGGAGTAAAAATAACATTTTAAGTAGATTTTAATTTTATTTAAATAAGTTAACAGAAAATAAATGAAAGCTATAATGATTGTTTTACTTACGCTTCGGAAATAAATGCGCGTATCTTGCAAAATGGCAATCCGAATAAATAAGGATACTGATGCCAGTAGAGAAATACTTCCGCCGGTAAGCCTGTAAAAGAAGAAGCACAGAATAAGCAAAATGTGGTAGAAAACTCATACTACTCGAAATGTCATAATAAATCACAATAAATTAAACATGACAAAGGTTGAAACCTATAACCTTCAATTTACAACAATTTACGAAACAAACTTTTTACACAAATTTTGTCAGCGCAAGCAACAATTTTTCATTCCCTGGAAATTGGTTTTCTCAAAGAGCTGTCAATAATATTGTCAGACATCACCTGGTTTTTCAGTATTCATAAAAATAAGAAAAAAATCAAAGAATGTTAAAAATTAAATATAAATATGAAATCGTTTTACTTATAAATTTATTGTGGCATTTTATATATATTTTTTAATAAATTTACGCATCTGAAGATGTTTTTCTTCGCAGAGATTCGACCGCAGTTCAAATTTATGAAGGATGTTAAATTCTTTATATTTATTGAAGCATGCGAAAGCGATTCAATCTATTATAAATCAGTTTCAGTAGACCGATATGATATGACATTATAGCCTTTCCATTATTTATAAACGTTTGCTATAAAATTGTCAACATATGATTAAAATATGGGTGGTGCACATTTTTTCGCCACCACTGTATACTTCATATCTGTTGTGTATCTTCAACAGAAATGGAGACAGACATTTTTTTTTTGTTTTTGAGTTCGAAATCAATGTTTTAAAAATATGTTTTTGTTGTGAATTATTTTAAGTCACCACAAAAATGTAAAAACGCGTATTTTAACCGCCGCACAAAGTGGCAAAAATTTCATTTGCATATTTGCAAAATTAAATTTGTTGCCTTGGTTTATTCGCGTATATGAATTTTCTCTTTTAATCGCATTTTTATTTTCGTATATTTTAATAAAAATATTCATTGTTTTATTTTATTTCATTTTATTTTTTCATTTCATTTCATTTTATTTTATATAATTTTTTTATATTAATTTGATGGAATGTGTGGTATTGTCATACGACATGTTTTCCTGTAAATACAAGAATGCATATCAGTCATGCTTGAGGATATTAAAGACCCAAATGATTTAGTGAAAAGAATTACTAGATATGAAATGAAATTTATTGCAGTATGGTTAAAATATGAGTAAAGTAAAGTAAGCAATTCAAGAACTAATAAATGTACTCATTTCAGAGCTCTTTGAATAATATTAGTATCTTTTAACAGAGAGTTTTCGAAAAGTAGTGAATTACAACAACAAAAATTATTTTTATATTATTTTAATTTATCGAGTATATCTAACAACAATGGCCTTGTAATTATTTCCTATAATTAATTATTCGTAAATAGCTTTTTGAGACTGCAAGTACAAGGAATCGAACTCGTGTCCTGCCAAATTTGAAGCTCGGAGTCAGCGCACCTTAACCAACTGAATTACTTAAATAGTTTGAAAGAATTTTTATTTGTACCAGAAATTTAACATAAAAATATTTATTTTATTGATAGGAATAATTAATTAATTAAAATCTAAATTATAACCAGGAAATCAGCCCACCTGAACCAACTGAATTATTTAATTAGTTTGAAAGAATTTTTAGTTGTACCAGAAAATTAACATAAAAATATTTATTTTATTGATAAGAATAATTAATTAAAATCTAAATTATAACCAGGAAATCAAAATTAAAGCTATTGAAAAAAGTGTATAAAATCTAGTAAGTCAAAATTAGTGTATTTATTAATGCATTCTTATTAGGAAGAATAAACAAGAAAAAAATATACATACATTTATTTATATATTTCTGAATTATTTAATTACTTTTACAGAATTTTTATTTTTAACACGAAAAAAGAAAATAGTTATTTATATATGTATTTAATCATAAATTTATTAAAATTTTTATTTTAATCAACATTAAAGTCACTGAAGAAAATTCTATTGAATAATAATTAATTTAAAATGCATGGTTTTAATTTCAATATAAAAAAAATTATTTTTGATTCCTACTTTTAAACGATTAAAGCTTATTTCTGCAATTAAATATTATTTTAAATTTCATGTGAATAAGTTATTTTGCGAAAATTAGTTTTACAATTAATTGCCGTCATCACAATTAACTCAGTTTTAATTGGCCTCCAGTGCGTATGAGTTATTTTTTACAAAATTTTTTACACAATGAAGTATTTAAATGAATTTTAAAACAAACAAAAAAATACTATTATATATATTGAATTACCTTAATTGATAACAGTAGTTTTAAATATTATAAACAATATAATTATCATGAAAATTGTTTACATGCTTAATTAATAACACAAAAATTAATTTATATATTTTTAATTACATTAAATCACAGCAAAAAATTTCCACATAATGGTTTTCTGCAAATAACTGGAAAACCATATATAAGATAAAAAATATATAAGATATAAAATCATTTCAGTTATGATTTTGGAGTTCTACGGAAAATACAGGTTTCATCTTTGCGGAACAAAATTTATCTTTATTTGCATTTAATTCTTCTTCTTATTTGGGACTACAGTCCAGAGTGAAGAGTTGGTTTCCCTTATTATTGCATTGAATTATAAGAATTTAAATTAAACAAAATTTTATTATTGCATTTATTAAATTCATTTTCATTCTAATTTTACTCATAACGCTATTGTTAATAAAGTCATTTTTAATTATAACAAAATGATTATAATGCATTAGAAAGGATGTAGAGTAAAAAATGTACAAATTTTTTTTTGACTAAAAATTTTATTTTTAACAATCGAAATGCATTCGTAATTTTAATAAACAAAAAATTAATAATAAAATAAAATAAAATAATAAAATAAAATAAAACAATTATTAATGTACCAAAGTGATTATATCTGATTTACATATGCAATCACTCGCGTTTAGTCTGTAAATTTTTGTATTTATTTACATAATAAAATGTGAATTTTTCTAGTACATATCAATAAATATTGAATGGAATTTAATTTTTACGGAAATACGAAAATTTATTCATACAATAACTGAAAATCAAACAATTTTTGAAATTTTAAACGAAATATTTCAGTTTTCAAATTTCTGCATAATTTTACTTCTCATGTGAATGCAAATTGAAATTGATAGGAATGTGTATACGAGTGTAAATGATTTTTTTATTTCCAGTAAATTTTATAATATCTGCGAAAATATTTAATTTTATCAAATAGTTATAGCAGAATACATGCAATTTAAATAATAAAAATATTAATTTGGAGCTATTTAAGCTAACTGAAATTCTAAATAGCCAAGAGAGGAGGAGAGTTTTTCGCAGTAACGCACAAATAATTACTAACTTTTTATGTAGGAGGAAGTATTGCCATATAAAGATGTAACTTAAGATCTATATAACAGATACGTTACATTCTCCTTCAGTTGTCATTTCCCACAGTTCCCATCTTGTCAGCATGTGCTTTTAAGGAACAACATTCTGTTAGTACACCAATAACTATTCTGCAATCCGGGCAAACGAAAATATATTTGGTGAGTTTTCATTTGGAAGATTTGCAGGATATTTTAGTTACTTTATAAGTGTCAAGTCGTTGCCATCTGTCCATTATTATGTTATGTGTCCATATTCCTTTAAGGAGTGTACGAAATTGTTATTAGCATGTAGGATGGGAATATCAATGTTAGTTGTGAACTCATCTGCAGTCTAATTTCCTTCTATACCTCTATGTTCCGGTATCCAAAACACATGGTGCTTTCTTTTGGACTCCAATGAGTTAATAATTCTTTTGTGTTTCGAAAAGTATGAAAGACATGATGTGGGTCGTTATTGTTTTATTGTCTGCTTGACAAATTTTTAAATTTAATTAGTATAGAACGTTTGGCATAAGGTTTTATTGCCTTTTAAACTACTGAAGATACTTCAGTAGTCCTAAGTTTCCCTACTTTTAGTTTACATTTTTCTATCTAAGCAAGGTAAAGGCGCCATTTGATCAGCACTTTCTAGTTATGAAGGACATAATAGATCTTTTAGGTCGCACAGCACAATCCCTTTTTTTCTTCTAGTTATGAAATAGGTGCTAAACCAATTTTTTTTAGGGATCTATGTTTGGATTATCTATGTTACTAATTAGTTCGTAGGCTTTTGAAATAGGTTGCCTTAACCGTGTCAAATGCTTTTATGATCACATTTCATGCTAATGTGACAGATTTTTAAAAAAATTGAAGGTATGGTCGACCAAACATCGTACTTACCAGGCATGACCCCCTTGCAAAATTTTGTCTATTTCCAATACTTTTCTACTTCTATTATATGCATTTCGTGTCAATTGCTCTCATAAAAAATTATTACTAGAAATACTTGAAAGCCATATTTCAACCATAGATAGAGGATATATCAATATAGCTAAAGGATTGGGTTGAAGGCTGGCATAGTTGTATGTTATTGTACTTGGAAGGACTTATTTCAAAGACCACTTATTAAGTTTTAATTTGACTGAAAATTGTTTGTATCTTTTATTTAAAAATTCCAAATATTTCTTTCGAAGAATTAGTTTTTTTAATCAAATAAATTAACAACAAATTTTTAATTTTAGGAAAACTTTATATTATATTTACTAGTGAAATTATATATATAACATAATTATATATGTATAATGTTATAACCAGTGTAAGTAGTTATATATATATACATATGATTTAATATATTTGTATTATAGACAGTTTCTATTTTATTTTCTTTTTGTGATTTGAGTAGCTACTTGTTAAATTTTGAATATAAACAACGACAATACATTGCTATATCCCTATTACCACCGTAGTTAACAAATTACAAACATTATTTTTATCATCTGAAAATGAGTTCATTAATTTTTTATTAATTTTATTACTAATTTACTAAAACAAGAAATTATGGAATAAGTAGTAAAAATAATTTGACTCAAAATATATGCACTGAAAAGGTCACAGAAGTTATAATAACAAACTACCACAAAATTACTTTAACACACTTGTAACCTGACCCCGAAAATTACGATAACACGATAAATTATAGTAACGAGTTTCTAAGAAACATAAAATGAAGATATTTAACCCGCTTGACTGTTAACTGC